GGAATGTTCTTGGTTAAAATTTCTGATATAATTTTTAAAATATTGCATTCTTTGACAGAAAAATAATTCAATACTTGCATTCTTAGCTTGCCTCTTATTATGATTTTATGAGAATAATAAAAAAAATCAAAGGAAGAAGTGCAATATCAATGCCAGTATGTGAGCAATATCACGCCTACCCCTCCCCTCCCCAACCCCAACATCAGCCCAAACCTATCAACAGTTGACTGTTGTTGTGTTAACCCTTTTACTTCCATGAGTGATTAAGACAGAGTTTCTCCTTACAATATCAATGCAATATCAACCAGGTAAGTGATGAGAATAAAATAAAAATATCAATTTGGGGTTAATTAGTTGATTCAATACTAAATTCTCTAAACTAACATTATAAGAATTGTGTGGTTGACAATAAGGAGAATTACATATTTGATCAGAGAGTGAAAGGGTTAAGGGAGGGGTACATGCGCAGTTACTCACATACTGAGTGCTGAGGTGGGATCATGGGAAGTGAACTAGCCCAATTTACTAAACTTGTTGTCAATGGGGTTCATTGTGGCTGTTATCCTACTGCTTTTAAAAATCATGTATTAACTGTGAATGCTTTGTGGATTTGCACATGCTTAGTCAAATTGTTGTTATTAAATTAATTTACTTTTGTTTTCTTAAAGTACCATGACAGGAATTGAATACGTAGTTCTTCATGTTCAAGATCCAATCCTATATGTCATTAGAAAACAACACAGAATTTCCCCAACTCAAGGTATCTTAATTTGTAATACACTGGTTAAGATCTCTTTTTCAATATACTGGTCATGTATACAATTTAGTGGTAGACTGATTATCACATGCATGATGAAATATAAAACTGCTACAAATTCTGATTCACTGCTAGATTCTCCCTTCAAAATGGTTTGTGTTCCCATGTGAAATGGAGAGAGAAGGTTGGTTAATCCCCTTGACCTTGTCTTAGGGATTATTCAGCGATATTTATCTGGCTTTCGGCGAATAATTGTCTAAGGAAATGTTTAGTGGCTTTGGGAGAGAATTCACAATTAGATCTTGGGAATGAAAGGCTAACCATGTGTTGCGGTGTGACGATTGCCATTTATCATAAAAGTAACCAAAATTATAGTGTTCAAGTAAGGTGTAGTTGTTGAGAGGTTTGGGTGCAATACCTGGCCTGCTCATTCTGCTGTGTTCATTGGTTGGACACTGTTCTCTCACAGTGCCTCTCTGGAGGCACCCAGGAGTATAAATGGGTACCAGTGAAGGGAGTGTTGACCTGTACTGGAACAGAATCCCACCGTGGTGGAAGTAGTACTCATAGTTATTTCATGCTATAGAGACCAGGATAAGTATTAGCTCCTAATGGGGCCCCTCTGCTTAAGTGCAGATTCTAACCCTTTCTTTGATTGCCTGTTTGCAGTTACTCCACTTGCAGATTACTACATGTTGGCAGGAGTGGTTTACCAAGCACCCGATCTTTGCTCAGTCATAAATTCCAGACTGGTTAGTAAAAAGTGATTAGACTTGTTAACTGATGAAGCCTTTTTTCTTTCTTATAATATCATCCTCCTAAGAGTGGAAAATGTTTTGCTCTCAAAGAAATGTCAATAAACATTGAGTAAAGCTATAAAGCTATTAGGCCATTGTTGACTTTTTATAGGCTTTCTCTTTGCTAAAACTTTTTGCTCCCAAGATTTCATTAGTTATTCGCCTTACAGTCTGCTATAGTCAAATTATATCATGTAAGTTTGAAGAATTTGGTATTGGATCAACTAATTATCCCTTATTTGTAATTTTCACTATTTTTATTCTTATCACTTGTTTGCTTGATGTTGTATTTATTTGATATTGTATGGAGAAATTCTTTATTCTGTTGGCTGAAAATTAGGTTTTGTTCTTTGTTTTACCTCCTCACATTTCAGAAATATTCTTGGCCAACAGCTCTAAAAACACATGCAATTTATAAATGCAAACTACAAACCATCATTTGTTTTTGATTTTAGATGGTGTTGGGAGTAGGGTGTCTTGGAACCGGGGGGGGGGATTTTACCCCCCATTTCCTCACATTTTAGCCTTGACTAAAGCCTTTAAGCTTTTATACCAAGCAAAATCATCAGTCTGAAAGTGTTGTTTTATGCTTCCCCAGCTGTCTACCTTGCACCACATACAAGCAGCTTTTGATGAAGGTGAATGTTGTATGAGTAAAATATTCAAGAATACATGGAAATTTCTGAC